GGAAATTGAGACCCAAAGAGTTTACGTGCTCTTCCCAGTAAATAGCAGAGCTTCAATTTAAACTCAAGGCTGTCTGACTGCAGAAGCCACACACCTTGAAGCACAGCACGTTAAATCTTGACTCATGATTAGAGTTGACCTTTGCTAGCTCCTTCAGGGGTCTAAACTGCCCTAGGGTGGCCTGTCTCCCCTGGCTCTCAGCCCTGGTTTGGACACTGCTGCAAGGGGCTAGCAATATCCCACTGGAGTCAGCTGATTGCCAGAGGCACATGAGAGTCTGTAAATATCACTGCATCACCCCAAAGCAGTCGTATTTCTGATTCTGCCTTAAATTCCATCTGAAAGTCCAGCTTTTACAAACTATGTATTTCTATTTCTAGCACAGCTCACACGTGCTGCCTTAGGAGCGTGTGCTATGTACCTTGGGCTTACTTCTGTTATATTCCTTAAATTGGTGAATTCTGTGCTATAGGCCAGAAGCTATTGCCCATCCAACAGCCCTTCCCCTCCTCGCCTTGCTGGTAGAGCCTGAGTTTGTTCATCTGTCTGCCTTTTCCCCATGTGACTCAGGAGAAGTGACCCCATCCCAGCTCTAGGAGTAAGTCATGATGATCTGTTAATGATAGCATCATTCCTCTTTCCAGTCATTGGTTTAGGGATGGGCACGTAACATAGTTGTGGCCAGTGGGCTAAGAGCAGAAGTCTCCTGAGGGTTTTTGGGAAAAGTTGCTTTACTGATAAAGAGGTGTACAAGAAGATGCCATTGTTGCCTCTGCTTCCTCTTCCTCCTCTGTTGCTCTACCTGTGTGTTCTAGAACTAAGCCAGCCATATTGTGTCTAGCAGAAGTGCTAGTGTACTGGAATGCCAATATGCTGGGAATGTAAATAAACTAAATTTTTATAATATCATTGAACCATTGCATAAACCTTTCTTGAAGGAGTCCTATCTTAGATTTATATAAGATAACAAAACCTACATAGATATCAAATTATGTTTTCAGCTAAGAGTTTGTATTCCCATTATTTGCATCTGACAGCTTGGTCACTGATACCCTGTAACTCTCTATTTTCTTCTCTGTCTCCACCTAGGACTATGAGCTAATGGAAAGCAAAAATTTTTTCTTGTTTCAAGTTGTGTCCTCAGCATCTATTATTATATTTGACATGCAGTAGTTACTAATCCAGCACTTCTTGACTGAATGAGTGAAAGCTCTGCCGGGGAAACTCACTAAACATGAAAACGCAACACTCTTGTATTTGATTTCATCCTGAGACAGGTTAAAATAAAAGCATGAGGGGGTGCTCTGCTTGATCTATAGTATTTACAGTAGACTAGTAAAGGTTTCTGCTGGATAATTCTCATGTAGAGTTGAAGCAGAATCCTTGAAGATCAGAAGAGAAGGGGACTTGGACATGGCTATCCTGAACTGCCTTAAAAAAAAAAAAAGACAAAGAAATGAGTCTCAAAGAGGCAAGTAATTTGTCCAAGGCACCTATATATTTCTTGACTCTGTTCCTTTAAGCCATCCTAACTTTTGCTATGCAACTGGGGCGCATAACATACACTCTCTAAGCCTTTTTCAGACGTAGGTAACAAAAGGGCAATAATTCCTGTTTGCTCAGTTCCAGATGCATGATAAAGAGAGATGCTGTAATAGAAGTAGAAGAGTTTTGTAAGTTACACAATTCTAAGCAAATTTGTTTTGCTATTACAGTAGATATTAAATATATGTATATTGAAGTGAGATGAGGGAAGAAGCTATAACCAGGGTACCAGCAGGTCCTGGTATGAATTTGTAGAGAACATAAAAATAAGTGACTCAAATAGAAAAGGAGGGTGAAGAGGCCGGGCACGGTGGCTCACGCCTGTAATCCCAGCACTTCGGGACGCTGAGGCAGGTGGATCGTGAAGTCAAGAGTTTGAGACCAGCCTGGCCAACATGGTGAAACCCCGTCTCTACTAAAAACACAAAAATTAGCCAGGCACAGTGGCAGGTACCTATAATCCCAGATACTCGGGAGGCTGAGGCAAGAGAATCACTTGAACCTGGGAGACGGAGGTTGCAGTGAGCCGAGATTGCACCACTGCACTCCAGCCTGGGTGACAGAGTGAGACTCCATCTCAAAAACAAACAAACAAACAAAAAGGAGGGTGAAGAAAGGATGTTGGGGTGCAAAATCCTGAGTTTTTGAGAGCTTGTATGTAGCAGACACTGTGCTAGACATAATGCATCCATCACTATTTATTGTGATCATTGTACCATAGGTTTGGTTTTTACCAGTGAAGAAGCTGAAACTGAAGCTCCAGGAGGTTCAGCAGGTTGTTGAGGTAGTGGATGGTTTTCATGGCCTGGCTCGCCATTCATACTCTTTCTGCCATGCCACTGGTCACTCCAGAAACTCGAGGACATCTATCTGGATGACCCAATCTGAGGTCCTCCTACCTCTGGCACACCAGGGCTTCTCATTCCCCACAGGTCTGCCCTGACTGAGCAGTGGGAATATGCCAGGCAAGGTGACTTGGAAAGGTTGAGAGATCATCATGTAGATGATCACAGTGACCAGCAACATCAGTCTCCTCTCTGCCTCCCCATTGCTTAGTCCATAAAAGTCTAGGCATGGACAATTCTTCCTTTCTGTTTTGGTGCCTAGGTCATGAAATTTGTCTTCATTTCAGCTGTGTTTGGTGTCCAAATACAAATTCTGGGACAAGGGCAACAGTAGCTAGTATGTGTGAACAGCTAACAGTAGAAACTAAGCCACACAGCCTGGTTTCAAATTCTAGTTCTACCATTACTCATTTTGTGGCCTTATGCAAGTTTCTTTTGGGTCTCAGTTTGTTCACCTGTAACATAGAGGTAATACATTACTTATAGGGTTATGTATTGATATCATTTCCACATATGGCAGATACTAAAAAAATGAGAACTATTCTTTAAATTTATTTGTAAGAGAAAAAGAAAAAAAAACAATTTAGCTTTTCTTCTTCTTTATTAGTTTTTTAGGTCTTTTAAATCTAGTAACTATCATTTTTTTATGTCTCTATATATTTCTCTTTTGTTCCCAAATTAGCTTGTATTTTCTAGAATTATGTTTCTGATAGGTCCTTCTCCATATTTTCTCTGCTTTCCTCCCCCATCTCTATTTATTCCCCAAGTGGATTCTTTTGTTCTCAGTCTCTCTCTGTCCACTCTGTAACAGGGGGTTTTTCACCCCAAATCTCTTAGATGTGGTCATATAAACAGTTGTGTTTGCCCTGAGTTTGTTTCCAGCTCCATTCAACATCCATTCTGCTCCAGGAATTTCTGAGGCCAAAACATTTGGCTGTGGAAGGGACTCCCATGGCATTTGTTGAGGTGCATCTGGATTCTGCAGTCAGCAGCCTTTGAAGCCATATAGTGCATCTGGTTGCAAATGTTTTTGGCCAACAAGGAGCTCAATTATCTATGCACTTTTTTTTTTTCCAATCTCTTTTTCAATCTGTTAAAAACATCCAGATTTCTTGGGTTCCACTTAGAATGGAAAACTATAACCACTTTGGAATTCTCTGATAGTAAAAACCTTTGCTGGCTCTCCATTGCCTATGGAATAAATGCTAAAGCATTCTGCAGGCAATCAAGGCCCCCAGAGTCCAGCCTCAAATCAAGCCTTTAATCAGGGGTTCTTAATCTGAGGTTTGGGAATCCCTTGAAGTTCCAAGCAAAATTGTTTGTACACACTTTTTATTTTTCTGGATAGAAAGTCCAAAGCTTTCATCATTTTCTCAAAGGAGACTAAGAATCAAAATGATTAAGAAGCCATCAGTCCATTAGGCTTGCCCTTGAATTGAATAATGGGCACATCAAGCTGTCATCTTCACAGCTCTTGTTCTGAAGCTCTTGTCCTGCTGCGCACCCCCAGCTGCCTTCCTAGCTCACATCTGCTGCTTTCTCTCACTTCCCTACCTGCTGACATCTCTCTTCTGTTTCCCCTTTATAGCATTATCTTGATCATCAAAACTGACCTTTGGCTGTATTTCCTGATAATCACTTACTTCGTCATTAATGATAACTTCCTAATAATGTCTTAGTTTGGCTTCCCCACAGAAGCAGACCCTAAGATTCTAAGTCACCTGCAAATGATAGCTTTCTGGAGTGAACCTAGAAAACATAAGAAAGGGAGTGGAGAAGGGATATCAGATAGAGAAAGAAACTGATAGAGGATCATTATAAAGCAAATGAACAATGTAGGCAGCTGGAGCCTAATCCTGCTGGGAATTATATACCTCAGGTTTCCCCCAGGGACGTTTATTCACCACTAATCATTGCTTGGGGAAAGTGGAAAGGAGAAAGAAATCCTTAGCATTCTGCCTGCCCAGCATGCCGGCTGAGTGGGCTCCAGCATCCAGATAATGCCCTTGGTTGAAGAGTTGGATGTTGGGCTGGCTTGTAGCAAAAGAGCACTTTCTGAGGGCGTCCAGGTGTGGCCCAACAGTGCCTGCTGCATGATCTGCCTCTGGATAAGTACCCCTCCTCGTCCAGCTCTACCTCTGAGCTCCTCCTGTGATATAGTTTGGCTCTGTGTTCCCACCCAAATCTCATCTGAATTGCACTCCCATAATTCCCAGGTGTTGCGGGAGGGACTCTGTGGGAAATAATTTGAATCATGGGGGCAGTGTCCCCCACACTGTTCTCGTGGTAGTGAATAAGTCTCAGGAGGTGTGATGGTTTTATCAAGGGTTTCTGCTTTTGCATCTTCATCATTTTCTCATGCTGCCGCCATGTAAGAAGTGCCTTTCTCCTTCCACTGTGATTCTGAGGCCTCCACTGCCATGTGGAACTGTAAATCCAGTGAAAACTCTTTTTCTTCCCAGTCTCAGATATGTCTTTATCAAGCAGCATGAAAATGGACCAATACACCCTCCCTCTTGAGTTTGCAGCACTGGACTTCTCAGCAATTCCCTGATGTGAACAATATTGTCTTGTCTCTGTCTGATTTCTCATTTTGTTCCCTTCACCTAGGTTGTCCCTCTCTCTTCATGCTGAAGACTTAGTCATAATTCAAGGCCAAGCTCAAATGCCCTCATTTCCATGAAGACTTCATAGATCCACCAAAATTACAATGAAACCCATCCTGCTCATGTGGACCCTTAACGCTGCACATTTGCTTCTGAAATGAGCTGAACCTGGGGGGTGGATGTACTGTCTTCTCCCCTAGAAATGGAAGTCCTGAAGTCAGGTATTGGTTTATTCATCTTTATGTCCCAGAGACGAAGCAAATGTTTGGCACACAGTAGGCATTTGAGAAAGATTTCCTGAGATGAGGTTCACAGTAGCCAAGAAGACAATTCTTGATTAAACTACATCATACCCCTGGAAATGAACTGTTTTTTTGACCTCTGAAATGTGACTCCGTATGTGGTTTATCTCAGGGACAGTGTCTTTTTTTCTTGCATTGATCTATTAGAATATCTTCTTTAGTTGCTTCTCTGGAAATCAATGCTTAGAATTGGCTTAAATGTCCTTCAGAGCAAGATGCTAATTAATGCAACAAATATGTACTGAGCACTGACTACATTTAGGGCACTAGAAACACATACTTGAATGCATCAGAATCACACTTTCTAGCCTGGGTTTATAATCTTGTGGTGGTCCCTGTAACTGTTCTCTGTGTATGTAGAAGTCTTCTCTGTGGCCACATTGTGAACTCATTACAAAGGTGTCTAAGTCTCCATGCATGCACTGGACTGGGTTACTATAAGATAATGAGGAACTAATGAAAATCTTTTGGGTGGTTTCAGGCCAATCCCAATAATTTCTTACTCAGCCTTCAAGGCTTGGCTCAGATGTGTCCTTTGGGAAGACTTTGAGTATTCGGGTTGGGTTAGGTGACCATGTAGTGGTCTTCTAGCAACTGGTGCTTATCACATTGTATTAAAATTATTAACTCTGTTTCCACCTATTCAACCACCAACTCATCAAGATCAGGGGATGAATTTTGTTTGGCTTCTCATATGGAGTGTCTGATATACAGCATCATAAATAAGGTGGGGCAATCATAAATAAGGTGGCCAGTGGGGAGAAACAGAGCTACTCTCCTCACATTCTGAGTAGCTAGGGTTCTTGACTGCAAAATGCCAGTGTAAGTAGAATTGGGAGGAGAGAGAAGAATGCAAAATGAAAAGCTAAGCCGTGAGCTAGAACACTGTATAGTTCAGAGCAGTCTGAGATGTGCACCACAGAGAATAGGAAGTGGTTAAACAATGAAGTTGTGAGTGGAAGATGCCATTCACACCATCCGTTTAGCTAACGCCTCATTTATGATGTACAGATAGGTACAGTACCTTAAAGAAACCCCAGCAGTCTGGACAGAAGATACAGACAAAGGTCCCTGCTAATAGGGTTTTGTCTTCACCTCGTAACACTTTCTAGCCCTTGAAAACTGTTCTGAGTAGGATTGTACTATCCTTGGAGAGAGTAAATATCTTGGGCAGTCATGCCTTTTATGATTTTCCTCTAACATCAATTTCCCATTCATTTTAATTTTTCTTAAATAAAGTGAACCCACAGACCTACCACGCCTATACTTCTGTGTGGTATGTGAGCCTGTGGGATAGTTATGAAAAGTCAAATAAATACAAAACAGGTGCCCAAGTACTGGAAACAAGGGGCGAGCAAGGCCAAATTGATTCCAGTACCATGCAAGAGACACCGTTATCCCAATTTAACCCCAAATTCTGCCTCTGCAGCCACCATTTCTCTTGTTGTGGCTTTGATCCTCTCACACGTATGCAGCATATTATGAGATTGCAGCGCCACCCAGAAAAGCAAGGCTTCCATGCAGTTCAGCCCACAGGTCCCCTCTCTCCTCTCATATGAATGCTGGTGTGTTCACCTTAAGAATGGGTACACTCTCCCAGCCTGCATGGTCAACAATGCCACATTACATTTTAAGATTTAAACTCTTTACTCACAAAATAGTTGTCAAAAGGCAAATAACCCCTACACTCATTCACTACAAGCTTGAAGTATCCACCAACATCAACTCTAATTTGCTATTTAATAAAAATCACAAATTGAAATCTGCTGAAAACCATGGACTAAAACTGAAGACCCTTAATTCAATAAGTATCTCTTGATTTTATAAGGGGAAGTGAAATAAATGGAAAATTCATATCTGTCCACAGAAAGCTTAGTGTCTCCAGTGATTCAAAATACATTTTCTCAACTAACAGTGTTAGACTCTGTGAGGACAACAGACGTGGTTTAGATAGACATTATGCCTGGCCTCAAGGAGCTTACAGTCTAGTAAGAGAGGTATTCAAGGTTACCATCTATGAATACAACATAATTAGTTCTACCCCTTATGGAGGTACAAATTAAATATTTCTGAATTCCAGTCTCATTTATTACAATGAGAGCTTTATTTTCTACTTGGAGTCACGTGTGTGACTGGGTAAAGGATTCTAAGGAATTTGCTTATCTCAAGGGGTCAATCTTAATTACTGTTGCCCTCCAGAGAAAAAATAAGAAGTTCTGAGTCATGACCTGTATGGTCCTGTTCTCTGCTGCAGCTGTTCTTATAGAGTATTATTGCTCAAACAGGCCCTCCATTTGATCTGAGCATTGGAGTGAATGCTGTGGGGTTCTAGATACGGTCATGGAGATCCAGTGTTCCTGTCTGCTGGACGATCAAGCAGTCAGGTGCAAGGGGTACTACAGATGCAGACTTGCCCCCCAACCTGCCATTGGTGGTTAATGAACGTAAAGCTGCCATTGGTTTGGAGTTCATGGGAGTGAGAAAGTGGTGTATTTGATGTGTCTTCCATATTAATGTTTAAGATCCCTAGTTTGATGGAACTATGGCGATGTAATTGCTGTGAACTTTTTACAAAGAAACACCAAAGAAGGTACAGAACTGAGGGAGATAGTCATGAGTTCAGCTTTTTGATTATGTTGACGTAGGAACCCCCTGAAATATCTGAGAGCAAATTTTGAGTAGATTTTATCTATTTATTTATTTTTAAAATTTTTGAGACAGAGTCTCACTCCATCACCCAGGCTGGAATATGAAGGCCTGATCTCAGCTCACTGCAATCTCTGCCTTAGGTTCAAGTGATTCTTATGCCTCAGCCTCCCGAGTAACTGAGATTACAGGCATGCACCACCACGCCCTGCTATTTTTTGTATTTTTAGTGGAGACAATGTTTTGCCATGTTGGCCAGGCTAAGTCTTGAACTCCTGACCTCAGGTGATCTGCTGGCCTTGGCCTCCCAAAGTGCTGGGATTACAGGCGTGAGCCACTACACCTGGCCTTGAGTAGATATTTGGATAAAAAGCCTATAGTTACAAGTGGGACTGGGCTGAAGATACAAGCTTGTGTACTATCATCATATTATCATTAATCCTACATTATAGATGAGGTTACATAATTTGCTCAGTGTCACACAGTGCTGGAGTCTCTCCTGTACCTTATATAATATCTCTCTCTCTCTTTATCTTTCTGTCTCTGTCTCTCTCTTATCCCTCTGTGCCTAGAGCAGTGTCTTCCTCATAGGAGATGTTCAATAAATATTTTCTTATATCCCAAAGACTCCCTAGGTAGACATGTCAGACCTATTTAAAATCTGCTGGCAACTCTGATCATTTGGAAGAGCATGTTTTGAAAAGATGAGCTTTTTGATGGCTGTATTCGGGGAGATAACAGACAAGGAAACATACAAGGAGACTGCTAATTGCATTTACTGGACCACACGCCTTCCTTTATTCTCAGAGGAATACATGTTTCCAAGAAATAAGGGGTTTGTCTGAGGTCCAAGGGCACTTAGACAATGGAGAAAACAGGTCTTTCAAGCTGTGGTTAACGTCTGTGTCTGAAGACCTCACCCACTATTGCTTTATTTATATCTGAACAACTAGCACTTCAGGATCCTTGTGTTTGGATTTTAGGTATACAAAATTGTTTTTTTTCCTTAGTTCTGGTAAATGACTCCTTTTCAGCATTTTCAGTTGTCTTCATGTAAGCTGAATGTGGGGTTCTGGATTTGGAGACTGAACACCAGGCTTTGTATGTTGCTTCTAATCCCTAGAAGCACATGACCTTGGGCAAGTAACTAAATGAGCTGTTTTTTAGATCCTTAACAGGGGATTTACATTACCTGCCTCCTAGAGTGGTGGTGAGGTCCAGCGAAATGGCCAGGGTGAAACCATGTACTACATGTTTATTTAAAAAATCTGGCAGGTTTTAGCACTCCTTGGAAGCACTCTTTTCCAAGTCTCAGAGAGTTTAGGGCTTTTTGCTCATCTTCAGTTGGGAAGGGCCTTCGCATGTCATATTCTATCTTACCTATGGACGAATGGAGCTACTCGGCTTCAGAAATTACCACTGAAATAAGACTTTAACCACTATAATTGTTGCAAATTGCTTTGTCTCTCCAGAATAGTTGTTTCTTTTGGGGTAAATTTCTCTTGCACTCTTACCATATATCTGGCTGTTGGCTAGAGGAATTGACCACTGACTTAGGCCGTTCATAGACTTCCAGTCCTCTAAGCAGTTATCAGTCCAGGAATGTGCACAAGATCCAACTGGGCCAATGTCTTCCTCTGGAAGTTAAATGAATACTGACCCCCGGGAGAGAGAGGCTTTCTTTCCTACTGATGTGGGGAGAGAAGTAGAGGAAACAGGCACAGAGTTCTGATAACAAAATGAGTTCCTGAACTATTGTGCCTGAGACCAACTTAGCACCTGCTCTTTACAGACTCATGCAACAATAGAGTCCTCTTTTTACTTATGCCAGTTTGGTTGGTGTTTTCTACTTGCAGTCATCATAAATACCCTACTTATCTACTGTTGCATGACACATTACCTCCAAATTTAATAGCATAAGGCCATCACTGTGGATTCTGCCGTGAATTCTGTGGGTCAGTAATTCAGACAGAGTACCATAGGACTGGTAACTCCAAGGTCCACAATGTCTGATGCCTCAGCTAATGAGACTTGAGCAGCTGTCATAGCTCAGATAGCTCAAATGCTAGGACTAGAATAATGGGGCTGAAGATGTCTCCTTCACAAACTTCTCTGACATCTGGGCTGGGATAACTCACAGGCTGGGCTCACCCGGGACTGCTGCTTGGAGCAACGGTGTGTTGCTTCTCTACATGTAGCGGGAGTTTTTCACAACCTGGTGGCTGGGTTTAAGAGCAGCTATTCCAAGGAGAAGTATTAGGAGAACAAAGTTT